TGTTACATCTTTATCAACTCTGCATCAGCTGAACATCAAGAGCAACCAAACTGGTTTCTTCTCTCCTGCATTACTTCCCATACCGTCTTCTATACATTTGACTTCAGTATTCTGACTTTTCTGTCTACTGTATACTCCACGGAGTTTCAAAGTATACCTACAGAGTTCTGAAGATAGCACTTACAATAGGCCCAGGGCTAAGAACCACAACAACTGGGCTTTTTGTTTGTTTGTTTTGTGTCTGTCAAGTAACCAAAGGATTTGCATTAATACTTTTGTTTTTAGGCTATCATTTGAAATATAACCCCCTTGCAAAGATACCACAGACACATAATGATAAAATCAAATAGGTAACATACCTACTGTGTGCCCTTCACACAAACAACTGCATCAGTGTTCCTTTTCTTGTTATTGATTATAATGCTCCTTTTATCCCCTCCAAAAACAAACAAACAAACAAACAAAAACTCCACCAAAACAAACAAAAATAAAAAAATCTTCTAGCACCAAGTTAACTAGATTTTTGGTCGATAGTCTATTATACCAATAAAGCAAAGGTTCTCTCATTTGCATATGGGCATGTATACACACACACACACAGACACACAGACACACAGACACACAGACACACAGACACACACACACACACACACTTTTCTCACTCTGTATCAGAATGGGTGTTGACTAGGGGAAAACATAAAAAGAAACCTCACTTGAAAAAGAGTTTTTTTTAAAAGAACATGTTCAAAGATCTCTTGACGGCCATACATTTAGTCAAGTTATTAACACAGCTGTGGAGGAAGGCTACTGAAAGAACAGTTCAAGTTAAAATGGTTTCCCCACAATCCTTTCATTTCAGGTGTTTGCTCAAAAAGAAGTGACAGCTGGAGAGATGGCTCAGTTACATAAGTGCTTGCCTTGCAAGCATGAGGACCTATGTTCAGATCCCTAACTCCATAAAAAGGCCCAGGCACAAAATCATGCAACTATAATCCCACAACTTTAGGGGACTGCTGAACAGCCTGCCTGACCTAATTAGTAAGCTTTAGGTTCAGAGAGAGACCCTGTCCCCAAAAATAAAATGGACACATGGAGGAAGACACCTGAAGTTGTCTTCTGACCTAGGTGTATGCATACACACACAGACCAGAATTACAAAAAAAAAAAAAAAAGAGAGAGAGAGAGAAAGAAAGAAAGAAAGAAAGGAAGAAAAAACAAAACTGAAAATCCACTTGGCTCTACTTCAGTTCTCAATCAAGTAAATCTAACCAAATCAACAAAATTCTTGTTTGGAAAGCAAAACAAAACTAGCTATTTTTTAAATAAGCTGTCCATGCAGCTTATGATCAATTTAACATACTTTGAGTTGCTGTGGAAATCAAATTTTACAATTCTGTATAGCAAAGATAGAAAGTACTGTTTGTGCAAGAACACTTTCCTGCACATAAACTCAATCTATAAGTTTCTTATCTACAAATGACTGGACATCAAAGCATTCCTTCTTATCCCCAATGATAAGAACTGTGCTCACATTTTCTTTTAGTAACTTATTCAGATACATAGTACTATCTCAAACACTGTTCTTTATTGTCAGTCCTCATCTCGCTTATACTGGCATAAGATCTCTGTGGTGGCACAGGGCAGGCAGTAAGATGGAGCAGAGTGAAACTGTGGTAGGAGTACATTGAGTCCACCTACTCACCCTTGTACCACTATTCACTTTCCCAGCCCAAACCTGCTCATCACTGTCAACACTTACCAGTTGGACAGATTAGAGCAGGGGAGGAAAAAACCCTTTTCTCATCACAGCAGGAAGATCTCACTTTCACTTTTCTTTCTGTTGCATTTCAAATCCTCTATCAGATAAAGGCAAAGAAAACTGGACTCTTCAACCCTACATCTTTTACCCTTGTGTTGTTACTTTGCAGTAATGGCTTTGTTTCCCATTCCACTCCACCCCAACCCATTTCTTTCATTTCCAGTATAGCCCTGAAAGAGCTGTCCTGCACATTGTCCCAATTCAACGATATACATTTCTGGTAGCCCATACCCACCAATCCATATCCTTCTTCCTTGCTAAACTTTTAATGTTGCTTCCTGCTCTCCATGTTCTCTTAGATAGTCTAACGTGTAAATCACCAACATTAGGATAAGGGATGGGAGGGGAACTATTATTTCCCTTAAAATAGTATAACACTAATGAAGAACAATCTCAGCTTCATGTAAGTTACTTTGATCTTAGGACTGGATCCACTTGGCTATGAAAATGAAAGAATTAATTTAGGTTATACACTAAACCTGGCTCTTACGTTTCCTGTCCCTAGTGATGGAGATGCAGAAACTTTGGATCTGAGATAAATTGTACACAATTCATGATTAGCCATGGTTGAAAATTATTCATGAAAACTATGGGTTCTTATAGTCTTACATACCATGATTTCAAGTGAGACTTTTCACTGCATTTCCTGGTGAGAAAACTGTTAGGAGCTTATAGAATACAAATATGCCTGGAGACCACCAATACTACAGTACTATGTTGTACTAATAAATAACAATAATAATTTCTTTGGTTAAATATCCAGGTTTTCTCAGAAGGCATTTAAACTGAGACTAGACCCATGTCAAATGTGAACGTTGGAAAGGGCACCCTCATTCAGATCATCTGTTTTGCAAGTTAACTAACTAGTGAGGTACTATATATCACTAGAGCAAAGCCTAGAGAAACATAGATTGTTTATGGAATCCAGGCCATTAAAACGCCCAAAGAAAAGCTTTATTCAAATGCTTAGACTGTCCTGTTGAGAATTCTTTACCTGCCCAACAGCACATCAGATCATTCTCTTCTGAACTACCTGCATTGCTTTCAGTTCTGGTATTTTCTAAGTACCAATCATTGTGAACGAAGTGTTCCCCTCGTTAGAATTTGGGCTTAAAGACATGTTTAAACATGTGGGACAAAGCATGCATAAACAGCAGCTTAAAGAGATAATGACACATTAACAGTGTGTTAATTTAAGTAGAACCTATTCGCTTATGAATAAATGAATAACAATGAAATTATAACAAAAAGGTTAACAATGGAAACTGAATTATATACTAGTCATTTTCTTTTAAAAGATGTGCCTTAAATGTGTACAAAATGGCACGATAAATTGAAGAAAAGTGGGTCCACTTATTTCCTCATTTCTCCAAACAACATAAAAACCAACAGAGAATGCCATTATGTAAGTGCATTTTGTGACTATCAAGAATGATGCAACTGTTGCCATGGTAACCACTCATTTTATTGAATTGCGGTTGGGAACTAAAGCAATTTTAATAAAAAAAATTCAATACCTTAATATGCTTGCCAAGGCTCTTCTATTGGTACCTACCAAACAATAGCTACAAACCATCTGTGGGGATATCAAATGGCCTCTATTAAAAGCCAGAACTGAGTTGTCAAGGAAAGAAACTTTGAATAGTTTTAAAAATAAAAACAGCACCGACACTCAAAGGAAGAAGACTTGCACTGAACTTCTAGAGTAATTGGAAGTGCATAACAGAAAAGCAACATGATCTCACAAGTCTTTGTTCCTTCACAGTCATAATTTCTCTTTTAACCTAAATTATTAACTACTTAAAAGACTAACATAAGAACGCTGTTGAGTTTTCATTTTGCAATGAAGCTAAAGCAAAAATCCGCTGAAAGTATCCCATCTTAATGCTTAAGAGAATTTTTCCCCTCCCCCTGAGCATGTAAAGAATAAAGCAAGTTTTCACCTTACAAAGTTTCTTTGTTTGAGAGCCTCCATTTACAAAATGCAAGGATAACTCGTAAAATCCAACTACAGACACCGTTCCGGCATAAGCAAAAGCCAATAAAGCTGCTTCCATGGAGGGAGGGGGCTGCACTTACGGCCGGCTTCAATGGCATCCGTGTCTGTCTTTCAGAGTCTCTGTGGTTAGACACTATCCCAAACCGCACAGAATCATAAGAACCTGCCCCAGATCTCTTTCTTGCCTGCCTCCACAAACTTGAAGACGGGGCTGCGGTG